CCGAGACATCGAAGGAGTTTCAACTAGTGATGCTCGCTGTGTAATAATTAGAACCCAGGGCTTTGTCTAGCACAGTTTGAGGACTTGAAAACTGCGAACCCTAACAGTAAGGCTTCAGGGATTCTGGCTTTCTTTACGAACTGGCATGGAGGATTCTATTATAGTTACTGATTTCATCTAAAGGTATGAGATTTTGTTTATTTTTGTGTGCATAAGGTATATTCAAACTACTTACTTCTAAAATTTATAGTTCATTTAAATGAATATAGTTCCTGGTCAGATAATATTTAAATGTCTTCTGCTATTATAAATACTAGCCTCTTAGCTATTATAAAAAGATAAACCTATATGACGATTTTAATGAGTCCAGCTTATGGGTCCAGTTAGTGATTATTAATAACAGAAACGAAAGAACTGCACTTAATTCTTTTCATTGCTTCGTTTGATCATAAAAAACAGATTGAATTTAAAAGAAAAATTCAATAGCTTACGCTTTTGCGAATGCCAACAGACTGATGCATGGAAGATAAAAATACTTTGTTTCGGGCAATGACAACGCATTTCTTATAAATCTCCGAATTTTCTATTTAAATTTGAAACATATATATCATATTTTAATGAGTAGCAACATATTGCTTTTAAATCGTCGAGTTTGTTAATTAAAACATCATTAAATGCGAAAAAAATTTGAAATGAATAAAGCCGATTTCGAATTTCAAAAGTCAGTTTTCGAAGAGCTTCAGAAAGACGTGCATTCAAAATTTGGTGTCTAAATAATGCCATAATTTTTCCCCAATGCGATTAAATTCTAAAGACAAATATTTTATGTTCCTTCGAGGGGCAACATATTTCTTTTATATTGCTCAGGTTTTTCTGATTAAATGTGAACCATAAATGAATTTTTTTAACATGGTTCAAATCGGACATATTTATTATAAACTAAACAAATAATTTCATGAAAAATCTAGTTTAACTGACAACGAATGCATAAATGCATTTGATTGTAATGTATATGATAAAAAATATAAAAAGTCCCAGAGCAATTAGTAATGAACATAACATTTTAAAGTAGCAATATTAGTTTCTCTTTCTTGCCTTCTAGGAATGCTTACTACTTTGTGCCTCTTTCGTAAAGAACTCTGTGTGAATATTCTTTTGGACATTTTACGGATTTCTGATAACAAGTATTCTTTTAAAAGATATAGATTTCAATGATATGTTTTATTCAATAGGAATAATACCTCGTGCACAGGCACAATGGTGTCGCACCCTTTTAATCCGATGATATTGAAATATATATTTCATACTTTGCAGAGCAGAGTGGCAACATAAGATTTTTAAATTACTGAGTTTTCCTAGAAATTCGTATATATAAATATATAACCAGTCTTTTCCAATGAAAATTGCTTTTTTAGGCTAGACCTTTATAAGTGCTTTATAAGTGCAACGGTCTCAAAACTCAATGTTTCTAAGACCGTTGCTTCGCCTTAACTATATTCTTCGTGTAGCCCAGCAGTTCTGGCTTACGTTGCAAAGAACTGTAAAAGAATTGGTAAGTCTTAAGGTAATTACTATATTAACATTTAGATTTTAGTACTTGAGCCATTGATATTTTTTCGGTTAATTTCGTGCAAGTGAAGAAAGTTCATAATTAATGCTTAGTTTATCTGAAAATAGACGTGATAAAGTCTCGTATTTTTATTTTGTAACTTAGAAGCTACTATGTTAAAATAAACGGTTTAGTTTATTGTCAAGTTTTGAATAATTATTTTCAGTTTCTCAGTCAGGCAAAAATCGCCTAGAACCTATAGGGTCCATTAAGAGTGTGCATCTATTGGATTTAATTACATATTGCACCCAAGGTGTGGACCAGCCAGCATGCAAACAAGGATCCTTTCAGTAGGAGATCTCCCACCATGAGATTTACTTCGTTCTAGGTATGCTGAAAAATTGAAGATAAAAGAAAGTTGAAAAAAGGACAGTTCCAGTTGGAAAAGAGCTTCAAATTAGCCGCATCGGTCTTATTCAACACATAGAGTATAAATTTTTTTTTAATCTTTAGTCTGCTTCATCGACGAGACAACGACGCTGGTAATTTTTATTATCATTATTTATCATTATTATTTTTATTATCATTATTTTTTATTATCATATTATATTATATTATTACAAAAATATTTTATTCTTTTTTTATAAAATTTATGTGGTTATTATTTACATTAACCAGTTACTTATAATTTCAGTCTTTGCTCTAACTTCTCCTTTCCATTAAGCTGATGTTTTGGGATTATAAGATACAGCATGTTTCTGTCTTTCGAGGCCACATTACTTAGACTTGCCATCTCTGACAAGATTTCTGTAATTCGGCTTGGCGTTATAGTTGCCGTCATTTAAATTGTTACGCCGGTGAGAAGTTCTGATCCAATTTAGATTTAGATTAAATTGTGTAGTTTTTGACTTCTAGGTTAAGTTTCAAAGTTTGAATTTGACTATTACTTTAGTTTCATCGCCACAAGTGGTTTGCTGATCCTGTGAGTAAATGAAGTGCGTTTATAGTTGAAATAATAATTACGTATACATTAAGATTCTTTGTTGAATTTTATATAATTGTATGGAGTTTCGAGTAAAATGTAGTTACAAATTTATTAACATCTGAGATCAAGCATTAGCGTTGACTTAGTTTCCCTCGTGCGTAACTTGGACAAGAGCTAGTTTCGCTTCAAGAGATTCTCTACCAACGCATTCCATGTAAGGTAAATCGATATGCCATATCTTGTATAAATTATTTATTTAACAACAGTTTCATTTACTTAAGATGTTGAAAACAAAGTATTTAAGCATAGTTAATTTGTGATAAGTATTCATTAAGGTTTACTAGAGTTAGTTTTAAATTAAATTCCATTTTGATCTTCATGGCTCGTCAAGATTTTCGTTCAGATCAGACAATAGTGCAAACTGAGTGGCAAGCAGCATAGTTTAATATGGAACTTGCACCTCAGCGTTGTCGTCTTAAATAGGTAACACATCATTTATTTAAGTCATTATTTGTAGTAGTTGTGATGGAGTTACCGAAAAGTATAGATCGTGCTTGCTAAGTTGTTTCTGTAGTTAGTTATACTGTTTCAGATCTCCAAGTGTTTAGACTCTTAGGTTATATGTTATAAATATCAGAGTCTTAGCATCAAGGCAAGTAGCGAGTTTTGTTAACTTTTGTACAAGAGTAGTTTGTTTTAATTTACGTTATCAATTTTCAATTTTTGTAAAATTCATTAAAAGGGTTAATAAATTTCTATTTCAATTTTACATTTGAGTTGTATTTTTCATTAATAGTAAACAGTAACAGGGACGGTAACTTGAAATGTGACTCAATAACGTCTATGGATACAGAAATGTTTTTTTTCCACCATAGAATATATGCCTGAAATATCATAGGTTCTTAACGCAATGTTTGCTAAAGATTAATCAACTAATGTTTCTTAAAGGAAGTTCAATAGCACGTAGTTTTTTAATACCCGAAATCAAGTGTTATATTCTTCACTCCGGAAACTAATATTACTTTCAGTGCCGGAAATGTGAAAATATGATACATAAATAGTTACCTGGCCCTGACCAACAAAATGTTTTGCCCATACGAACTTGAAAGCAAAATGTATTCGTTATTCTCTGATATATTCCCTAGGCAGAGAAGCGAACCAGGTGAGGGCGCTTGAGGGCAGAAGAAATGTTATTAAAGAGTGGTAAGCATGAAATGCTAATTCCAGATATATAAACATATATATATGTATATAATAAACTGTGTGCTTATCATACAATCATATTGCAGCTTACAACCACATTGCAACTTATAATCACATTACAATCACCACATATTGCAGCTTACAATTAGCTTACACTTTACACATTGAAACTGTAAGGATTAAATTCTGCAAGCAGTATTCTAATAGAAAAAAAACGCGTTTTCCATTACACCACGTATTGTTACTGGTTGAAAGCTCAGTACTTCGTCTCGAATATTCTACTTCAGCTGTCTAATAGTCTCTGGTTTATTAACAAACACTTTGTCTTTTAAATATCCCCATAAAAAAGATTCTGCTTCGCCATTAGCCACAAAAAGTTTTGAAATATTGTTCTGTAAGAAGCTCCGAAAATCGTTTCCACCGTTCCATTCTCAAATATGAGCCGATAACAGTATTGGCCATAACACCGCACCAAACAATACGCTTGAATTAAAATATTGCAGATATTTACGCTGCGTCATAACAATTGATCGTTGACAAGAATAGCAAAACTCGATAGTTTTAACGCGTTATTTTGTACTATATGGTCCCATGATAAATTTTCCAAGAATTCAATTATGACCTACAAAAAGACAAAAAATAATTATATCAAAAAATAAAAAAAAAGTTTAGGCCCACCCTATAGAATCAAACTTATGAAAATTTCTCCATACTCGATAAAGAAACTTAAAACAGTGAAAACCAAAAGAACTTCAAATCGGAACCAAAGCTCCTGAAACCAGAGCTTCGAAAGGCAAAAACAGTAAGAAAGTATTTGAGAATACAAAACTCAGAATACTGAACAGGTGAAATCAAATAATATTATATCTTTTGCTTTTTCCATCAAATTGAGTTCACTTTTTATGTTTATCAAAAATGCTAATTTCATAACATTTTCTTAAGTTCTTTCTCATGAAACATAAATGAAGTCACTAACGTAAGAGAAAATTGTTTATAAAATTAAAAGCACGCCAACCTATTTTACAATAAAAACTTAAGTGGGTTATGAAAGTAAACAATACAATGCTTCTATAACTAGATTCTATGAAGTCTCTGAGCATGAGTTGATGCGTAAATGCATGACTCCATACGGATTGTCATTAGACCAATTTAAATGCGAAATATTTTATCCGCTAATGTAGTTTTTTTAAAAATAGGACTTCGTGCTCTGTTTCTAAACGAGGTTTCTCCTCCATTCATAAATGAAAGATTAAATGTGCGTACCTGCTTCTGGCTGCTAAAACCGCCTTCACCGCGCAGACGGGTTCCCTGGTGTCTCCGACGAGGAAAGTTACATCACACAGCTCGGGCATACTCGCTAAGAACTTCATGTCCTCAGCCAATCCGGTCTTGTTCTCGAAAACCGAGTAGTCTTCGGTTTCTTCCCCTTCGGCCAGTTCGTCTGACATCGTCGCCACTGGAATTAGAAATAGTTGCAATTATAATTGTGATAATTCGGATTTACGCTTGAATATAATTAGTCTAACCACAGTTCTATTAAATAGAGCCAGATACGGGGAGTTTTAAAGAATAGGTTCAGAAATTTCTTTTCATAAGAATGCTGGATTGTAAATAATTCTTCAGGGAATCTCTACAAAAATAATCATAATTATAAATGATCACTAAGCTAATAAGAATCATCATTACAAACGTTCATTTTGATTTTTCATCATATAATACAATCATTGACCTGTTACTGGCACAGAAGAAAAATGCCTAATCTATATTTATATCTGTTATTACTGTTTTAGACAAATATGTTTATGCAACAAATTTTGATCTTTTAGTAATTACACGCAACGATAAAAAGGGGCATTACAATACAGACACATTTACAACATTTCTCCCTCTAAAGGACGGTGGCCTATATGCTGACGCCCTTCCGCTTAGTGAGTCCTATCGAAAGTATTATCTTATAAGGTATTCCTGCCGCCTTCTTGGCATGACTTCGTGGTGTGGTGGTCTGCCCGCTGGGCGCGTATTCCAGAGGTCCACGGTTCGATTCCCGGTGAAGGTGGTTGCTCATTTTTCATCTCTCTTGCTTTCAAAAATTGCCTAATGTCTCTACAAACTAACAGCTATATGCTCAAGGGGGGCAGTTAAAAATCTCCCTGGTGTATGTCTAGAAAGAAAAACAACTACAAAAAGGAGGACAAAGTTTTTAACGTACGGGGTATAATTACTGTAATTACTGTATACATTGCATGAGTTTAAACAGGTACCTTATATTGGACATTGCATATTGGCAATTATTTACGGTTATTATAGAAAGCAATCAAAGCATTAGAGTACAATTCTTAAACATCGCTACAATAAATTACACAGTTAGACTATATATATGGTTCATTTGCAGAACATTGCAATACATTCTGCTAGTTAATCGTTATCTAATTATACATTAGGTAATGATTCAGTCCAGTGACCTGTTATTATTAATTTAGTTTAAAAATGAAAGTTACAATTCACTTTACACATTGCTATGGCGAAAATCTTTATTTGCTATTACAAGATTACTATACTTACTACAGAACAATATTCATGGCTCATATTTACATGTTGAGGCCCACCAGCGGCCGAGCGGTAAAGTCGCTGAACGCTGGTAGTTCAGTCCGAGGTTCAAATCCCGCGAACGGGCTGGCTGCATGGGAGGTTTCGTGGTCTTCCCCATATGTAACGTGTATACGAGCCAGTTTCCCTTAGAAAGTCCTCCACGAAGGCATCCCTCCCCTTAGGCAGATAGCCCTCGAGGCTTTGCCATAATCACACACACACATATTTACATGTTTAAAATATGATTGCAGGATGCAATATTAGGTCACATTATTTACAGCGAATGTGTTGTAGTAAGCCTAAGTGTTTACAAATTAGACTGACTGGCGGCTTTGGATAGCTCATTGTTTCTGATCTTCTATAAATTTCTAAAGGCATTTTCGTGCACTGCGGAATAAGCTTTTGGACATATGGACTTTTTCCCCGTGTTTTGGGTACGTTGATGCTTTGCAAGAATAGCTTCCCTTAGACGAACTTCTGACATGTAGTACCGTGCTGACCTTAGGGAAAAAAAACAAGAATGGCACACACATCTGCCTGTTGTCGTCATGCTGCCATTCCTGTTGTTAAATCTCTAAAATCTATGTTGAAGTAGCTGACCTCATGTGCAATTTGGCAATGGATGTGCATTGATCTTACAGGAGGATCTATAGCTGCAAATTTTGTTACCTCACCGCCCAATTCGTCACCCCAAACTCCACGGTGTGTTGTAACTACATTGAACTTCTTTTTAGTCTGGAATTCATTTATATAAAAAAAAAAATCCGTTATATATATATCTGACAACACAGGTTTTGCTTTGGCCGCTTTATACGGCTTACGTATTTGAAGCAGATTCAATATAAATATATGTAATGAGATTAACAGCATTGCAGTGCTGGATTGCTGCTCTTAATGCCAAAAATTGGCTTGCAGTCCTTGCTCTTAGTCCCGAAATCTTTGTTCTCAGTTTCTTTGCCAGAATGATTATTGTATATGTACCATTGATCAGACAGAAATCATGGTTTGGATCTAGCTGCTTCTAGACCCGTCCGCATTGTATGCTTTGGGTATTGTGGTATTGGGTGTTTGTATTTGAATTCTACATTAATCTCTGCTGATTGTCAGGGTAGCAATTCAGTTCATAATCACTTTGCGTGTACGTGAAATTCACTGTATGTTGTAGTCCTAAAGATCCTGATGACTATACATAGAGAATTTTTTCAAATTGATTTATTAATTTTATCTACAATCGATTGCCAGTTATCCAAATTTTAGATATGCGGAGCTCTACAATTATCCGGATTGTCTGATCTTGTATTGAGGGCAGAAGATATTTCCTTTGCTGCTAATTTATTGACGTAGTTTTAGCTTTTTTCATTAATTTGAAGGTTAGAAACATGTAACTCCTTCCTTTAAAAAGCTTTGGGACCAATTTAAATGGATTTTTACGACAATGATCTCTCGCATGTTTCGCCTCAATCAGTTAACCAACTAATGACACTGACCTGCTCTGTTCCATATTAATGGAAATGCAGTTGAATACCTGCACCTTGAGTAATTTGATTATGTTCTTATTTTACATCAATGAAATATAATGTTACTTCAAATTACTTAAAACTCAGTCGAACAAGAACAAATTATATGCTTTATTTAACTCAAATAGAAATAATTACTTTTAATACACTAATAAACGAAAACGATATTACTTATTTATAAAAAGAATTGAAAAAATTTATTCTAGTAATAAGCATAAATAAAAAAATTGATTATTCAGTGATTGAAAATTGCCACTGATTGTAGTTCCTTTTGAGATTGGACGAACATTATCAGAGAGCAATCCAATAATAATCCGATAATACTGGACTTAATCCACCGTTATTTCAAAGCTAATGGACGAAGTTCCAATGAAACTGCTGTCAGCGAAACAATTTTTGCTTATTTGTGCTATACGGTATTTCCCCCCTCCTTCCAGCATGCCTTCATGGTGTAAGGGTAGCACACTCGGCCAGTATTCAAGAGCTTGAAGTTCACATCCGGGCGAGGGCACTGCACATTTTTAACGTTTCCTGCGTCAAAAACCTAATGTCTCTACAATGACAACCAAACTAAAAGGTGGTGGAGAATTCTTCGTCACCACTAAGATTTGGCGATTGGGTTTCATAACCCTAGTCGCCTTTCAAAATGGGGGTATGTAACGTATTTCCAAGCATATGAAAATAAATTTATAGCTTTATATTGTTTTAAATAAAATACGTTCAACAAAGAAATATAATTTTTCTGCTTTGAATTACTGTAAACAACGCATTTTGATTATAAAATAAAATACTATTTTATCATCAGATTCTGTTTCGATGGGACTATTCATATGGGCTGTTGTCTTATTCAGTCATGCTATTTTGTATTATTTAATCTCCGACAAGAACTTCATCTCTAACAAGAAGAATGTTTTCGTATCAGTTTTGGATCTGAAATACGAGTCATGTGTCTCTCTGTATCGACGTAAAAAGATAATTGTGAATCGTGTTTTAATTCGTGCTTGATCTCGTGAATATATAGATCTATAAAATACTTGACCATTCTTACAGCTATAAAACCATAACATGTGATTCAATAGAAGTAGATTAGTGCTTAACGTTAGTATCGCTGCAGATGATAATAAAAATTCCATTTAAAAAAGGAACACATAAATTCAGACCCAAATAATATAGGATAACAATGTCACAAAAATACCTTTTGAAAGTAGACAACAGTAGACATTCGCTATAAGTAAAATATCCGTTACAAAAACCGATCAAGGATCTCCATCACTCTCCATTCATGATTATCAATCCCATCTATTTCATCAAATCATCAGAGCGACTTTAGATGTTTTAGGCACAAATTTGAATCCCGTTGCTGTCTTAGCAATTGGTTTACATCATTGAAAGCTGGAGAAACTTATTTACACTGCTCTCTCTCTCTCTCTATATATATATATACATATATGTCTTTGCTTTCGTTATCATTTATAAACCGGTAAATCCTGTGGGAATATATATTACTGTTTTATCACATTAGATTACGGCGAAACATACTAATGTCATCTCTTTTACGTGAAGGGCGTTTTCATAAAGGACATTCTAAGGGAAAGTGGCTCATATTCAAGTTGCACACGGAAAAATTGGATCTTGTGCGTTCAGCCGTTGATGGGCTTATTTCATTCACATCAGCATAGAGTTTCCGCTCGACGCGGACACGCTTTAGAAAATTCAAAATAAAAACTACTTTTTAATACTGAGCTGTAGCAAATGGAATTACCCAATGAGTCAGTTAAACTCATGTAAATTCATAAGTGGGCGTTGTTTGCCATCAGTATATCAGTTAAAAGTCAAGTTACGTAAAACTGAACGCATACAAAACTTGAAAATCAATTTTTTCGTTGCTTTTATCTGTTAAAATTTTTGTCTAAAAGTTAAAGATTTTCAGATAAATTAACTTTATTACTCTGAGCTTCTTTACATCAGTTTTAGCTTTCCTTGTGTGTTGCTAGGATTGTAGGAGCTTTCTAAATAAAAAAGTATTTCTAACTTCAGTACAATTTAAACTCAAGTAAAATATTTCACAATATCTGAGGTCATATAAATGCATCTCAGTGCTAATTTATATTTCGGTTTTTAATTATAGTTAATAGCGTGAATGAATATACCATTATATATTTAAATAATGGCAAAAACAGAGACTTCAAACACATAATCAGAAAAGATAATAACATCAAGTACACTTCAAATACGTACTAAAAAACTTCAAATACATAATCAGAAATGATGTCAATAATCAGTGTCTAAAACTTAGTAATCAACAAAATAATTAAAAGAGCAAATTAAGTAATCAACAATGACCTCGAAA